ACTGTACATATATTCCTAAATATACAGTCCAGATATCCATCCATTTATTGCTACCATCTCAAACAATATTAATTAACCAAGTCATAAGTCGGCCTCCATAACCACTAGGACAGTATCTGATCACTCCACGGTTCTGACCTCCCTCTCATGGCCAACGTTGCCTGCTAGATCACCTAACTGGAAACTGAATGAATATTTACTGCAATGCCCGGTATCCAGACCACAGCTGGAGGCAGATATACAAAACTATTTTCATCTAAATGCCTTGTCTGGTATGTCTCCGGCAGTGGTCTGGGAGGCGCACAAAGTGGTGGCTAGAGGCAAATTAATAGAACTGGGAGCTAGGAAAAAGCGAGAGGCAGAGCGGGAACTGCAGACATCATTAGCACAAATTACATCACTGGAACGCCTTCATAAACGTTTGTTACAATTTACTCACTATCACTCTTTACTGCAAAGTAGAGAAGCCCTGAAAAGACTCCTAGATCGTAAAACTGCCCAAAAATTCCTATGGCTGCGCCAACGGACATATGAGTGGGGTAATAGCGGAGTAGGTGCAGAGCAGATCAGTTGCAGACCGGATCAAAACTGCGTCCAATGTATTCCAATGGTATTTTTTGCTCCAGTTCACATCGCAGCATGCAGTTGCAGAGCAGATCCAAAGCAGGTGAAAAAACTGCAGCAGGCCCTATTTTACCTGCTCTGGATCTGCTAGGGAACGCATCAAAAACGCAAAGCAATGCAATTCAATGAAAAAAACTAACCCTAAAGAAAAAAAACTCTATGGTCATCTGTCATGACCTAATCTTCCTTGGTCACTTCCTGCTTGTTGAAATAAATTTCCAACATGTTACATAACAAAAAATAAAAGGATTTTTAATGAGTGATAGAGAGAGAGAGAGATTGCTAGAGAAATAGAGTTATAGAGAAAGAGAGAGAGTGAGAGAGAGAGAAAGAGAGAGAGTGTGAGAGAGATTCCATCACAAGGGACACATAACAAGCAAACATTACTACCTAGATATCGACATGCGGGTGTATGAGAAAAACGTGTCGAGGTGTTCACGAAGGTCTTAATATAGAGTCCCAAACTGGCCCTTTGGATCTCTTTCACTCATCAGTGGGTGCACCCAAAAGCGACGTCTCCTTACAGCACTTTGGCGTAGCAGTATAATAACCATCACCAGGAGCATGCCTGCATCCCATGGATCCATGTTGCAACAATTTTACATGTGAGAGACAAGGTCAGAGGAAGCAGGAAATAATCAGAACAGCTAATGAAAGGTCAGAGGTAAAAGGAAATGACCTCATAACATTGTTCGCTTCCTGAAAAAAAAGATCTGGAACGCGTCAAAAATGCATCAAAAACGAGTCTAAAAGAAACCTGAGCGGATCTGCTCTGCATTTGGTGTGAACAAGGCCTAAAGCGTTAAGCATGATGAACTCGGGAAAAGCCCCGGGCCCGGACGTGTTCACCCTTCCTTATTGTCAAACCTTTAAAGATTTGCTACTACCTCGATGGACCAGTTATGCTAACTCCCCAACCTCTGGAGGAGAATTTTGCCCAGAAACAACCCTAGCCCTTATCACTGTATTTCCCAAGCCTGGAAAAGACCCCACATGTTGCCCTAGCTATAGGCCCATATCATTATTGAATGTGGATGTCAAGCTCTACTCGAAGGTCTTGGCACACCGCTTACAACCGTTACTACCCAGATTTGTATCCCTTGATCAGACAGGATTCATCCCAGGCCGCGAAGCTAGAGATAACTCCTTGCGCACCCTGACAATTATATTGCATGTTCGCATGAAATCCCAGCCACATTACTACTGTCGACGGACGCCGAAAAAGCGTTTGACAGAGTGGCCTGGGATTTCAAGTTCGCAACATTGGAAGTCATGGGGTTACGCACAGGAATGATGTCCCCGATTAATGCATTGTATCAGAACCCTATGGCCAGAGTGAGGATTAATGGAGTACTCAGTCCCTCTTTCTCCCTGAGTAATGGCACCAGGCAGGGATGTCCCTTATCACCCTTGTTGTTTGCTATATCCCTGGAGCCCTTCCTATCCACCATAGCTCATGACCCGGACATCCAAGGGGTACAGGTGGGTTCCAGAGAACATAAATATGCGGCCTATGCTGATGACATTTTATTTTATGTTAGGAATCCCCGAATTTCCCTTCCAAATTTAGTATCTGCATTAAGAGCAAACATTTTCTCCAATAAATACTTATTATACAAAAAAAAGTCATATTGTATAGTCACCCTATGTTACTGACTTTCTACTCCACACCTGATTCAGAAGAAACACTGTCAGCACATGGTGATTTAAAAAGCTAAGTCACTAATAAATAAATTAAGTAGTTCCTTGTGAAATTTTCAGTGATTCATCATTACTCATCTTTTTTTTTAAGACATGCAAATACACGCAAAAATATGTAATACTGTGGTTCATGGAGAAGAGGAGTTTTGGTGCGGGACACAGGCAAGGATGAAATAAAATGGAGAAAAATGTGTCTGTTTTCATGCAGCAAAATACATGAGTTAGGATGCATGGCAAATAGAAATCCTATTCTTTCCTATGTGGCTGGTTCCCATCTATGTAATGCAGTTTTGTGTGAAAAGGAAAAGGTAAACTATATGGCCCGTTCACACCTACACATGGGCACCTAATGCATGCTGCACACACACAGAACAGTGTTTAATGGGGTGAGAAGTGTGCTTATTATATATTTTTGCCCTAGAGGTGAAGCTTGTGCACTAGGGGTGCCAAGGGGCTCAGTGCTTGTCAGCATTACCCACCTAAGGTGTTTTACACGGGGTACCCTTTTTTTCAATGGGCATGTCGCTGGCATCACAGGGCACCACATACTGACTTTTGCTAGGCAATGATGGCTTAGCTACTGTTCTTACTGTCTTCATTTCTTTTTTTCACCCGGTGAAAAAGCTTTGTGAACCCTCTTTAGTGAATCAAGAAATACTTTCTCAACATTGCTTGAAGTCATATTGCTGATTTCATGTGCTGGCCTCACTTCTTCCATGAAGCCATTTTTACCATGTGTCTAGGTGCAAAAATAACAGCATTATACTCACCTGAACCTCGCAGCCAGCTGGTTGTTAGACTGCTCTCTCCAGCCAATCTCCTCCTCTGCTGCAGCGATGGTATATCCCTTGGGGACCTCACATCCTATACGCAGTGCATGACTCACAGGACCTTAGACTGCTGCAACAGAGGGGAAGAGACGCTCCAGAGACCGGTCGGCTCAGAGGATTGGGTGCGTATAACTTTGTTATTTTTACCCCTAGACAAAAATGAGTACTTAACCATTTCAGTGCAGGGGGTAGCCCCACTGCAAGGGTTAATGCAAGGGTTAATGAAAAATTATGCCTGGAGTTCTACTTTAATTTGGCACTGCTATTATGAGGCGGAGGGAATCATAGTTCTCAATGGAACGTAAGTGTGGTGATGTCACTGCACTTGTAACCCATTATTTACTTCCTCCATCTCCATAACCGAAGGCCTGTACTACCGTACGGAGGTACAGGGGAACAGTCTGCATCAACCCATGTGCAACATCGTGTGGCTGATGTTGCACATGGGGAGAGTTGTCCCCGCCCCTTTCCATCTGCAGTGTCTGAGCTCATCATTTGAAAAGTAGATCTCCAGACGAAAAATTGTGGGCGCCCCTGATGTAGGGGATTCAAATATAGCAGATTTCCTCACCTGATCCCCAGCCACCTCCCCCCAAGCTGCTAGACTGGTCCCCGCATCTTCTTCTCCCCTGGGCTCCAGCGGTCTAAAGGTGGCCATACACCTTACGATTATCGTACGACACTTTTCGTCCGATGATCGAACCGTCGTACGATTTTCGGACGGCGGCCCCATCCTGCCCCGATTATCGCAAGGTTCAATTAGCCGTAATTAAAAAAAAGCACCTGAACGACTTGCGGCAATCGACCGCGCGTATTTTCGTTTGCGCATGAGCAATGTAGATCGTACGATTTTTGACGTACGGAATCATACGATCGACCAAAGTTTTCAAACCTGCTTGAAAGTCAAAAGTCGTACCATTGTACAGTATTTGCGGTTGTACACTGCCCATCAACCTTGCGATTATAGGACGAAAACACGATCGCATACGATAATCGCAAGGTGTATGGGTACCTTAAGAACCACTGATGACTTCATGTCTTACCCAGGTCTATTAACCACAGCTGTAGTGGAGGGGGAGAGAGGTGAGTGCTGATCACCGCTGGACCAAGGATCAGTTTAATAAAACTGCTTTATTTGAGGCCCCTAGACAAAACGAGCACTTAACCCTTGCCGGAGTTCTTTTAAGAGGGTCTTCTGTCCCAAAGCAATGAACACATTCTAGAGGACTGGGATAAAGTTTTAGAACATCCTAATACTGTATTTCTTAACACAACGCTGGTAGATGAAAAATTATACATTGTTGTTTCAACAACTACACTTTAAAGTTTTGTTATGTGTCAGACACAACCTTGTGAAACGCCCGTCATTATAAAGCAACATGTACTTAAGTAAAACGTTTCGGCAATATTATTTAAAATCCAGGTGATAATATTTATTTCCCTAGCTTATCTGATATGGTATCAAGTCAAACAAAAATAAAAACTGGATCCCACACAGATACATAATACTGACTGCGGAAGAATATAAAAAAAGAAATGAAAACCATTTAATATATTCACCTTTTTACCCAGCATCTGTACTACAAGAGGAGTACGCAAATGATCACTTTCATCTCTGGTAGTGGTACCAGAGGGTATCGCAAGCTGATAAACATTTTTTTGGAGTATTTTCAGGACTCACTGATAAGAAAAGCTTTCTAGTTTACATCTCATCTTGTACAAAAGTTATAGGAACACTAAAGGGACTGTGTTTGTCAGCGCAGTCATTAGCAGCTATGATAGCACACAAAAATCAGTAACTGCAAATTGCACATTAGGCCATCACAAAAGAAAGATTTCTTGTACCTGTGGAAATCAGTCTGGGATGAGCAGACGTTGAAGAAGATGATGGTGAATTTTGCAGTCAGCTACAGCGAGTAAAGTTTTCCGATCCCCAGGAACTGCGATAGGCAGAGAAGGCCGGTAGGCTGTTGTCACGCACTCCTACGGAGAGGTGAGACGGCCAGGTAAACCCTCTCGAGAAAAGGAAGACAGTCTTACAACATAATCCTGAGAGATGCTGGGAGATTGTCAGTAAGAGACTCCACAATTAAGCTTCTCGCAGGTTTATCCTCATTCATCGCAAACATGAAAAACACAACAGCAGGTTGTGTGTATGGGTGGGGAGGAGAGACATCGGATTAGTAGACTGGCTGAGAATTTGTTTCAGACTTAGGAACAAGCAAGGCCAGAGGGGAGGGGGTGGGGAGGACTGGATTGTACAGGGAGGAGTTGTTCAACCTGCAGAGCCATAGCTGAGGTGTGTGACATTACTACTTTGCAATGTGAGGCCGCAGCCTCTAATTAGCATACCTCATATAAAAAAGGGACTTGTGATTGTTACAAGCGTCACAAATGAAAGCAGTGGGTTGATAAAAGCGTGCACTTCAACATACTGATACAGATAACTATGCTCAGAATGTTATCTTTACAAGCAAGTAAATTGTGACTCTTGAAGTATATATTGTATGCAGATTCAACAGGTAGGGAAGAAAGTTCCGCCTGCTGCATACAGACTAGTGTCGATTTACTAAAGGTGACAGTTAGCTTAGTGAATAAGGAGAACCTATGCTCACTTTAAAGCAGAACTTTGGGCAAAAAAAATATTAACCCTTGCACTGCACTGCAAGGTTTAAGCGCCCGTTTTTGCCTAGGGTTAGAAATAAAAAAAGTTATTCTCACCCGATCTTCCGAGGCAGCTTGCTCTCAGACCAGTCCCTGGAGCATCTCTCTCCCTCATCTGCGGCAAGCTAAGGTCCCTGAGGCATGAAGTGAGGACACCGAGGGTGAGTATAACTTTGTTACTTTTGATCCTAGGTAAAAACAAGCACTTAATCCTTGCAGTGCAGGTGCACCCACTGCAAGGGTTAATAATATTTTTGCCTAGTGTTCTGCTTTAAATAGACAAGCACATGCAAAGAAAATGTTAAAGAAACAGGATTTTACTTGCATGTGAGTGGGTGATTGAAGTGAACACTCATTTATCTTATTCATTAAAGGAGTTGTATAGTCCCAGCATGTACTATCCTGTTATAACATCAGCAGTGTAATAGGAATATATACTAGAGTTGTTTTTGAATGCAATTAAAGCTTACTTGAAAAAATCCCTTTTATGTAGTGAGTGCTGCCTTCGATATGCCCATCACTTTCATCAATTTCCTGGATTCCCAGTGTGCTTTTATGTTTACCTCCTGCTTGATGTGAGGCTCGCTTGATTTCTCAAGATTTCTCATATCCAATCATGCATTGTTTCCAGGAAGCAATGATGATGTTACATTGTTCAGACATTGAGTTGTAGCTCAGAAGGCAGGCTCTGTGAGAGTGGTGCCAGAATGTGCATATTCACAGGTGAAATTGTGAGTGAAATTGTGTTAGTGCATTGAGGAAGTCCATCCTATGGCCATCTTCAATCAGTAAGTTTACAAATTTCTAGATCCATATGGTTATTAGGAGTGGGATAGAACTTATAGGAATTCAGTCTAGAAATACATATTTATTTTTAGTTTTTGACCACAGATTTGCAAAGTAAAAAATGTCCTCCCCTTTAGTAAAGCAACCCTAAGGTGCGGAATAATGTTTTTTGTTTCTCTAGTAAATAGCACATTAATGAAACCAAGAATTTCTAAATCAGTCTTGTTTATATTCTTGTTAATATAATGTTTTTCAGTAGTGCATCATTTCCAGACACAGTCCCAGATTTTAGAGATGTATCTCTGTGAATATGGATTCCAGAAAATGGACCTGTAATTAGCACTGAACAGTTGCACAGCTGATGTCCTTTCCTAAGGCCTGTTCTGCTTCATACCTCAATAGGCTGAACACTTCTAAGGGCTCCACTAAACATGCATCTGCTGTTAAAAATATGAAACATGTGACTGCAGGGAGTCTAAGAGTGGCATCATCTGCCAATTGGCTAAAGTAGGTTAAAGAGGCTGCCCCGCTTTATTGATAAAAATGAAAGAATCCTTTAATGTCACAGTAGTATACCTAATACTGAATCAGTGTAAGTATACAATTTGTAATCTTGCTATGAAACAATCATTATTTAGGTTATGTCATTAGGTAAACACCTATGGTGCCCATACACATACAGATCTAAGCAGCCAAAAGCTTATCCATTTTAATGGATTAACTGAATAGGGTAAAACCTGTTTATGCTAAATGCAGCAAATAAACATGTCTGATTATTCTGCAAGGTTCTTCTCAACATGCAAAGTTTTGATGTTCAAGTAATCAGCTGTAGATTTAATTGATCTCCTGATCAATATATAGCTTGAAAGGTAAGTCTTGATCTCTCATTCTTAATGGCCACAAATATAGTTTTGACTGCACTAGAGAACATTCAGGCATACAGTATGAGAGCATATGATTCGCAAAATCAATTGTTGCCTTTAGACTTTGAACAATCAGATAAAAGCTGGTCATACACTGCTCAAAATTCAAACCATTTTTTTTTTTAATTGACTATTGTCCAAGAGCCAGACCCAAAATTATCATCTGAACAGTGTTGCAGCTAATCAGTTGCATGTAGTGGCTGTTAAGGTCCCCACGCACCTTACGATATTCGTACGATAATCGCGGGAAATCCCGCGATCGTACGATTATGCACGATCTGCAAGATAGGCAGATCGTACGTTTTTTTAAGTACCTTACAACCATCACAAGACAAAAGTCTTGCGATGGTTGTAAGGTGTGTGCCCAGCCTTAGAATACAATAGCCCAGAAGGGGAGATAGGGGAGACCTATGTCACCTTCAGAAAGGGATCCTACGAGGCCCCAGAAATGTCAGTTTCTTACGACTTTGTGACACTGTGTTCACAATAAATACGTGAAAACACACTTATTTTGAGTGGTGGTTATTTTCACAGGGGGATTTAATATTAAATTTGCACCAGATTTCATTCTGGTGCTGTGCTTGCGACATATTCAGTAAATAAAATTAAGAAATCTGATTCAAAAGTAAGACCAAGCACTTTTTGGTATAACTATTCGATCGCACATCCATATTGTATTTGTGCGACAGATGCCTTGGTGCCTTTCCTTGAAACTGAGGATCCAACTGAATTCTGTCTCAGACACATATGTGACACTATGGACAGAGATGCGGAACATTGATGTACTTTATCAGTGGGCACCTATCTGTCATAAAGTTTGGAGTCTATTCACTAAGCTGCGTAGGCAGCCGAGTGAAAGACCGACCTGAAGTGAAGTGAGCCAAACGCTGTTTGGCTATTCACTTCAGGCTGGTACATCGGGTGGCTTCGGGTGTGCAGGAGGAAGTGCAGGAGGAGTTCGAAGTGCAGGAGGAGTTCGACTCAGCCGATCCAATATCTGGATCGGCTAAGCCGAACCTCCAGCAGGCTACTCGCTGCTGTTCAGTCTATTCTTATAGATGCCGAACAGCAGTGAGTGCATTGCCGAATGCAGCTGAGCGGTGTTCTGCTCGGTCCCTCTGAGGGACCGAGCAGAACAGAAAAATAGTTTAAAAAGTACAAAAAAATAAATAGAAAACGATTGTGCGGAACTAGCAGTGACAGCTAGCTCCGTCCAATAGTTTTCTATTGGCCGGCGGTTCTGCTGCCGTCTAAAAAGAAGAAGAAAAAAAAACTCTCCCAGGCGCTCTGGGAGTCTCCCGATCACGGCCGCCCAGGAGAGAAACACTGATTTTTCCTTTTTTTTCTTTATTCTGACACGGAGAATAGAAAAAAAAACAAAAACATTTTTGCCCATAGGATTGCATTGCTACATTCCTATTGGCTATTTCAATTTGCAATAGCCAATAGTAAACTAGCATTGCACCCGCCCTCTGCTGCAGTTCTCCATCAGGTCCATAAGCAGAAGCTACGGCTAGACCCTTCGGCTGCCTCGTGAATAGACCCCTTTGTCTCGCAAATCCAGTGCCAGTTTCATAGGTTTGTGCCAAATTCATAAATGTTATGCAGGCTTGCAAATGAATTTGGTGCAAATAACAACACGTTTCCTGTAATCCTGAGGTTTCCTGTAATCCTCAGACTCTTTTCTTATGTGTCTCAACCACATTCTCTTTGGACTCCCATGTGTATTTTCTCATCAGATTAGAAAACCTGCTTCAATAGCTGTCGTTCACCGCTGGCAGCTTCCTCCCTTCTACCTCTTCTCCCCTCTCCATTAAAATAAACTTTAATGCACAGCATAAATAAGCATATACATTTATGAAGCACTTCAAAAAGACTCCCAAAGTCTATTCTCAAACTATGGGCTAGATTTCAAGAAGATTCCAACAGGTTGCCTAAAGCTGGACATACATTATGCGAAGTTCGGCCGGTTCTTCAGGAACTGGCCAAAATACACAGCCAGCATACCTCAATCAGATGAGCCTGAATGAGCCTATTGGAAAATCTTCGTATGAACAGAGCCGGCAGCCGCTGTCAAAATACAAAAGAAACGGCGAGGATTCCTCTATCAATGCTATTTTTTTCGAGCATTCCTCGCGTTGAACGAAAAAAATTGAACCGTGTATGGCAACTTAACTCTTCCCCTACCCAGCAGAACTATCTCTTTACACCTCATGGCGTTATTCAGTGTCAAGAGCAGAAAGGAAGTCCTCTGCAAGCTACAAGTCCTGACTTGGAGCTTTCACTGGGCTTAAAGGGTAATGGCTCCTGGTGTACGGTCCATACAGAGTACACAACATCGCAGCCCTGCGCTAGATATTTCAAATTATGCTCACAAATGGAGAGGATTCATTGGTCAACACAGTCAGCTGTCCACACTAACCAATGAGCACTTCTCACTGACTGCGCTGACCAATGAGCGCTTGCTATTTGTGAGCACAATTTGAAAGTGGAATTACCCCTAAGGACTCACTGAGCCATTCGCCTTACCTTCACTACCCTGTTGCTTTGTTTTGCAGCTGAGAACAATGAAACACCTGGTACTTTCAGATATTGGTGAGCATCTAACTCCCCTTTCTCCCATATGACAGTATTTGTGCTTTGTGATTGGCCCAGTACTGTTGGAAGCCGAACAGAGCAATGGTGGAGTGAAGTAATGGGGATTATGTGCTGCTCGTTAGAGTGGAAGCTAAGTATACCTATTACTTTGGCCTGCATGGGTAAAGCACTTGTTCACTTTAAAGAGGAACTTTCCTCATCAATCTCTCAAAACAGTTACTTTTA